TAAATTACTGTGCTACATATAGGAAACTTTTCTGTGAAATTAAACTTTTCATACATACTTAATTTCAATTACCCAAACATGTCTATATAAGTAAAAACAGGTTAACTAATTTGTCAATTTTTTAACACATGCATTTGGAAAACCTACTTTATTATATAACAGACTTTTGGCTTTAATGAACATCCCCTCACTCAAATTAGTCCATTATATCGAGGTTTTACTATAATGTCAATCTTCTGATTTAGCTCATTGTACTATGGAAATATTATTGTTCTTAGGAAAAAACATTACATATTATAAAATATTTGTTTTTAAGGGTAAAAGGGGTATGAGTGAAACTTTCTTTTAAATGTTTCACAAAAAATAATATCAGTTAATTATATAGGAAGAGAAATGATGGAGTAGATGTAGTAAGTAAAAATATAAACAACTGGGGGATCTGAGTAAAGGTATATGGGACTTCTTTATATTATTCTTGCAACTTTCTGTAAGTTTGAAATGATCTGAAAATAATACAAAAATAAACAAAACCGCAAAACCAAAACAAAACACAAAAATAGAATAAAGGCCCCACAGTTACATATTAGTGTATGGTTAAAAAAGACTCATCAAGGTAATCCAGAGTATGCTATTCTATTTAAGATTACCAGTAAAATGAAAATATATCAAGTCATGCTTTAGATTATATTAATGGTCAAATCATTTAAGACTCAATACACCAGATGTTTTGTGAAACTTGAACAGTCCAGAAGCAATAGGATACTCTGGATTGGATATATTTCTAATGTAACTACTCTCATGTCATGTGGGAATTGTTAACTTGTCTCTTGCAGATAGTAGGCTCCTAGAAGACAAGGACAATGTTATAGTCATCTTAATATACACAACATTAGAGTAACAAACTGAACTAAAAGCAATCCCTCCAAAGCACATGTCTGAGTATGAACAAAGACTTTGATATACACATAAAAAAAATTGTATGAAAGCATTTTCAACAGTACTTTCATTAAATGACAGCTCTTTACAAAACTAGTATAAACAGAGGTCTAAAGCATCTGGTTCTAAAGCAGAATATTTACTCTGGGGTGTAAATAAGCCTGCATATTTAATAGGCCAGTATCATAGAAATTATATTATATCTCCATTAGGAAGAACTAGCATCTGTTATTCACCTACCATGTGCTCATTTTCTATGTGGAGAAACTGAGGCTCTGAGCAGCTGAGTAATTTCCCCACTATCACACAGCCAGAAAAGGGTGAGGCCAGGAAATAGTGAATGAGGCCAGAAAGTGAGACGTAGGTGCATTATAAAGCCCTTGCTCTTTCTGCAACTTCAAGCAGCCATTGAATATATATTTCTCTGTACCACTCTGTATAATAAGCATGATAATTCCTATTTAAATGGCTTTGATAAAATTTAAATGACATGGTATCAATAAAAAAATCACTCTGAAAAGTATAAAAAGTTCTACAAATAATAAAAAACAATTATGATCTGTCTAGCTATCTGTCTGTCTAATTTGCTTGATCCTCAAACTCATTTTGAAGTAGTCAGGGAGGTGTTATTCTCCCATTTTAGTAGATGTAGGGAGTATAACACTCAGAAAGATTAAGTTACTTGTTTATGAGTCACAAAGGCAGGATTAGATTCTGAATCTTACGTCTTCTCCTATTTTTTCCTTAAAAACAATATTTTTATTGATATCAGAGAGGAAGGGAGAAGGCGAGATAGAAACACCAATGATGAGAGAGAATCACTCACTGATCAGCTGCCCTACACTGGGGATTGAGCCCACAACTTGGGCATGAACCCTGATTGGGAATCAAACCACGACTACCAAGTCAGTAGGTCGATGTTCTACCACTAAGCCACACCAGCTAGGCTGCTTCTTTTTCTATAACATCATGATGCATCTAAAATGTAAACTCATATGCATTATGCATAACCCATGGATACAGATAGTGTGGTGAAGGCCTGGAGAGGGGGCAGGAATGGGATGAAGGGGGTCAATGGAAAAAGGGGAACATCTGTAATACGTTCAACAATAAAGCTAAAATAAAAAAAATTACAAAGCCCTATTACTGCAGCAAAAGATCATGGAAGAAAATGTTAAGGGAAAAAAAGGTCATGTAGATCCTTAGAAGAAAAATTACATGCATTTAAAATGTTAAAATTTGCTTACATATTAAATATAAACTTACAAATGTATTTGGGGACAGACATTTTAATCAGTTGTATTAATTTTATAATGTACTTGTTATACTTGATTAATTAGCAAAACACTTATTCTGGAAAATGAGGCATACACATAGGCTTTTCACACAATACAACATAAATTATTAAGTTCCCCTACATGAACTTTTGTAGTGTATTTAAAACCTAAAGTGAGGCTAGGTATAATAAACTAGGTGCCTGGTGCATGAAATTCGTGCACATTAAAAGAAAATTAATTAGAGGAAATATTTTAATATTGCTATTTGCCCTTTCTCTATAATAGAAGCTTCAGAGATTAAAGAAAATTAGTAAAATGTATATGAAAATCTTCCGCCTGTCAGAGTCTGGGGCACACCGCGGGACCCAGAGTCAAGTACGCCCCCACCTGCATGCACCTCAAAATCGTGCGAGACCCAAACCCAGACCTGGCTGACCCCACCCCTGTCAAGCCCTGCCGGGTGGGGGGCACAGCCTAAGGTCCCCCGCCCAGTGACAACTCAGATATGGCTGCTGGTCAGCTCTGTGAGTTGCGGGGAGATCCCAGCACAGGAACAATGAACCTTGTGAGATCTCCTGTCTGGAAGAAAGCTGCACCTGAATTCCTGCCCTGATGCCAGACAATCCAGTTCCTCCCCATATGTCCCTGGATCCCCCAAAGCTGCTGCCCCAGTGCTGGAGTCCAGAGGGACTGAGTCTGAGTAAGTCTGTGTACTGTCCCTTTAAGAAGAACTACATGGGTCTCCAGCAGCCTCCATGTCACTCAGTCACAATCCCCACTGTTTTTCACAGCCCGAAGTTATGAGGACTTCTCTTCCCAGCTCTGGAATCCTGGCTGGGGGTCTGGAAGCCCTTGCTTCTCACCTGAGACCTCTGCAGCAGAGCTATCCCTCCATATTAAACATGCCACATGTGGGTGTTGAATCAGTCTGTTCTGCGCCTCCACCCCTCCTACCAGTCTCGATGTATTTCTCCTTTACTCCTCTAGTTGTATGACTTCCATTCAGCCAGATTTCAGGTGGTTTTGAATGATGGTTGCTCTGTATTTTAGTTGTAATTTTGATGTGGTTGTGGGAGGTGGCGAGTACCAATGTTTACCCTACACTGCAGTCTTGGTTCTCTCTTATTTAGAATTATTAAAGTTTTAGTATAATACCTGTAATTTCTCCTAGAATCATATTTTGTATGATATTCCTATTGATTTTTATTTTTTAGGAGGGGTAAAAGTGCATGGAAATGCTCATAATCATAGTTGATATTCCATTTCCCCCCACAATGGGGCTTATTTTTACCTAGATTTTATACTATAGATCATTAATTGTAAAAATACATAAAGATGTACTTATTCACACTTTAAATAAGATTGAGATCTTTCACACCTAACATCATTATTATCTACCCTATATAATAAAAGCTTAATATGCTAAGTGTCTGGTCGTCCGTTCAACCAATCAAAGCATAATATGCTAATGATATGCTAAGGCCGCTCAACCACTCGCTATGATGTGAACTGATCACCAGGGGGCAGACAGTTGACTGGTCGACCAGTCACTAGGACGTGCACTGACCACCAGAGGACAGACATTCCGACCAGTAGGTTAGCTTGCTGCTGGGGTCCGGCCGATAGGGACTGAGTGAGTTGGTTCAGACATGGCCTGGAGCCCTCCCGCAGTCCCTCCACAGCTGGCCCACCGCCCTCCCTTGCCCCGATCATGCACAGCTGGGGTCCCTTGGCCTGGCCTGCACCCTCTCACAATCTGGGACCCATTAGGGGATATTGGAGAGCCAGTTTCAGCCTAACAGTGGAACAGCTGGTTGCTATTATGTGCACTGAATACCAGAGAGCAGACCCTCAAAGTAGAAGCTGCCCCCTGGTGTCAGTGCGCTTGCACAGGGGGAGCACCGCTCAGTCAGAACGCAGGCTCACGGATGGCGAGCACAGCAGCAGTGACAGGAGCCTCTCCCGCCTCCACGGCAGCACTAAGGATGTCCGACTGACCGCTTAGGCCTGCAGGAGCAGCCCTTAAGCAGTCAGTCGGGACATTCCCCGAGGGCTCCTGGACTGTGAGTGGGCGCAGGCCAGGCTGAGGGACCCCCCCGAGTGCACGAATTTTGTGCACTGGGCCTCTAGTCTATATATATAAAAAGCCAGCGACCATAACGCCGTAACGACCGGTCGCTATGACGCCCACTGTGGCCAGCAAAATGGCCCGATCAGGGGGTGGGGACATCCAGCCAACCTCCCGCGGTCCCTCCCCCCTGGCTGGCCCACCCACCCTTTCCCCCCTTCCCTGGCCAGCACGCTCCCGATTGGCCGCCCCACCACGATAGGCCTGCAGCCTCTCCCACTGGCTGGTCCCGCCCCTGATTGCCTCCCCACCCCATTTGATGGCGGGCCAGCAAACCCATCACCCACAGCCCCTCCCCATGGCCATACTTAATTTTGTTAAAAATTAACAAAATTTCCAAAAGCAAAAATATTTTTAAAACTATTTCACATTTACAAGTACAAAAGACATGATAAATCTAAGCAGGTTCAATATTATGAAGTTCAGAATGTGTCCTATTTCATAGAGTAACTAATAAAAAGGCAAATATTGAACCCACTTTATAGCAAATCCTTACAATTTTATTTATAAGATAATTAATTTATATTAATTCCCTAAAAATATCAATTGAAGCCCAAAGTGAATGACCAAATCTAACAAAAAAATAATTAAAACACTTACAAAAAAGAAACATTAGAAACAAATTAAAATTTATAAATAAAAAAGAAACTAATAAAAACCTGTGGTATGGTGGATAGGATGACAGTATTCTCAGCAGGGACTGGCAGGACAGGGATCACAGGGACAGTGGGAGAAGAGAGAGGTACAGCTTCTGTTGGCTAAAAATCATCAATGACAAAAAATCAGGAAAAATGTCAAAATAAAAAGGAATCACATAACAGAAAGTTTGTCATAAATTATAGTTTTCAGAATGAACTGAAAAGTAGGTAAAATATTAATATATTACCTCAATTTGAATGAGAAAATGATTTCCAGAAAGTATTTTATTAATAATTATATCACAAATATTTTAATTACTCTGCAGTTAAAAAGAGTGACTACTCCTTAGATCAGTGGTTCTCAACCTTCTGGCCCTTTAAATACAGTTCCTCATGTTGTGACCCAACCATAAAATTATTTTCATTGCTACTTCATAACTGTAATGTTGCTACTGTTATGAATCGTAATGTAAATATCTGATATGCAGGATGGTCTTAGGCGACCCCTGTGAAAGGGTTGTTCGACCGCCAAAGGGGTCGCGACCCACAGGTTGAGAACCACTGCCTTAGATGTTTAAATGAAAATAATAAAAGATAACAATTTATAATGCTCCTCCTCAAAGCGACAAGACACTAGCTTCAGAGACAGACTACAAAATATTTTTCTAGCATCCAGAATATATGTGACTACCTTCCTCCTTGTATTGAAAGAATCAAAAATAATTCCATTTGCCTATCAGGTAGATAATTGGGCCTTACAAATCTACAGACAAAAGATTCAAAAGATTCCAAAATTGAATCTGTATAACTTAAACTAATCTGTGCTATTAACCTCTATTATCAAGAACCTGCCTGTAAAGTCATTAATGCAACTAGCATTCATTGAGTATCTATTATATGCCAGACATATTTTGGAAAAAATGAAAAAAGAAGTGGCAACTCTAGTGACATATTTAAACTATAAAGCTTTGATATTTGTACTAAACTAGTGGCATGGAGCACAAAATCCGTGCACTGGGGGGGGGGGGGATCCCCCAGCCTGGCCTGTGCCCTGTCACAGTGTGGGAGCCCCATGATCCATCCCCCCAAAGAGGTAGGCCTTGCCCACCCACCTGGGGCTCCTCGATGGATTGCCCCAAAGAGGTAAGCCGGGCTGGGCCGAGACGGAGGCTTGTGGACCCCCAGTGCAGGCGTGTGGAGGCTTCTGCCGCAGCCCTGTCCCCGGCCCTGACACTGCAAGTCCCTGCCCACCTGCGTCTGCTGCGCACGCAGCCTCCAGCTGATTGGTCGTTACACATGAGGGCGTCCCAACAATTTGCATATTAGCTTTTTATTAGTATAGATTACTCTATCTGACTTGATTCAATTATTTTTATAAAGCTGTAACTGGAACACAGAAAGGTGTTTTCTAACGAGTTCCAAACCTTATAAACGGAATTAATTCATATTTCCTCTATCAATGACATATTCTATATGTATAAAAACATTAAAATTAAATTAATAAGACAACAATGTACATTAAGAGACTTAAAACAGAAAGAAAACAAATTGCTAAACTTGAAACTATGCTTTTCCTCATTGATAAAAATACAAAATGAAATTAAAATGTTAACTTTCTTTCTCTATCAGGCAATGAAAATTTATCAAAAATGTATGAAGTCTCTTCAATAAGGTATTGAGACACTGGATATCCACATGCAAAAAAAAAGTTAAAACATTATATATAAAAACTAATGGAAAATTAATCAACAACCTAAATATAAGTGCTAAAACCATAAAACTCGTAGAAGAAAAAAGGGGTAAATTTTCATGACCTTGGATTTGACAATAGATTCTTAAATATGACCATTAAAAAAGCATAAGTGATGAAAACAAATTAGGATTTAATCAGAATTAAAACTTCTTGTACACCAAAAAGCATTATCAAGAAAGCGAAAAGACAACCTACAGAATGGGAGTAAATCTTTGCAAATCATACATCTGATGAAGGTTTGATATCCAGAATATACTAAGAACTCCAACTCAACAACAACAAAAAACAATAAAAAAATGGGCAAAGGACCCAAATAGACATTTCTCTAAAAAAGCTATACAAATGGCCAATAAGCACATGAAAAGATACTGAACATCACTATTCATGAGAGATATGCAAATCAAAGTTACAATATCACCTCACACCTACTGGAAGGCTGTAATAAAAAAGGGAAAACTGAAACAGAAAGTAACAAGTATTGGTGAGAATGTGCAAAACTGGAACCCTCAAAAACTGCTGGTAGGAATGGGAAAGTGTGCATACTCTGTGGAAAACAGTTTGGCAGTTCCTCAAAAAATGAGCCATAAGCCTACTATATGACCCAGCTCTAAGCTACTCTTAAGTATATGCTCAATAGAACTAACAACAGGAAACTGGATACTTACACCAACGTTCAATGATGCATTATTCACAACAGTCAAAAGGTGGAAACAGCCCTAACTGGTTTGGCTCAGTGAATAGAGCGTCGGCCTGCAGACTGAAGGGTCCCAGGTTCGATTCTGGTCAAGGGCATGTACCTTGGTTACGGGCACATCCCCAGTGGGCGGTGTGCAGGAGGCAGCTGATCCATGTTTCTCTCTCATTGATGTTTCTAACTCTCTGTCCCTCTCCCTTCCTCTCTGTAAAAAATGAATAATAATAAAAAAAGTGGAAACAACCCACATGTCCACCAACAGATGAATGGATAAATAAAATGTGTTACATGCATTAAATGGATATTAGTCAGCCATAAAAAATAAAATTCTGATATATATCCTACAATATGGATTAATCTTGAAAACATTATTGCTAACTGAAATTAATCAGCCACAAAAGAACAATATTGTATGATTCCACTTATATGAAATACTTAAAATAGATAAATTCAGAGACAGAAAGGAGAATAGAAGTTATGGGGGCACGGGGAATCATTGCCTAATGGTTACATAGTTTGATGTGATAAAAACAATTTTGGAAATAGTGATTACTGCGTAACACTGGGAATATAACTAATGCCACAGAATTATTCAATTAAAACTTGTTAAAATGGTAAATTTTGTTACATATATTTTACCACAATAAACAAACTCAAAAAAATTTTAATACATGGGAACAAGTACTCTCTCACACTGCCCTTGGAAATATAAATCCATACAAACTTTATAAAAACCAACTCAGCAGTAATTGTCTATAGCCATAAAAATATCTAACCTCTCTGACATAGTCATTCTGGAAATCTATCCTCAAGGGAATAATTTAAAAAGCAAATGTTTTAATACTCTTAATATATTCCCCTGAGCATTGTTTATACTTGGGGAAACGTAGAATATCCTAAATATCCAAAGGTGTTGAAATGGTTAAGTAAATAATGATAATTATATAAGATTAAATAAATATCAGGCAACAAGGATAAATCATTTGTAAAAACAGTTTGTAAGTCATATAGAATACTGCCAATGACATGACATTAAACAAAAAAGGAGAAATGAAAAGTGTAAAATTATGGAAATAAATGTGTGAAAAGTTAACCTCTGGCCGAAACCGGTTTGGCTCAGTGGATAGAGACTTGGCCGGCGGACTGAAAGGTCCCAGGTTCGATTCCGGTCAAGGGCATGTACCTGGGTTGAGGGCACATCCCCAGTGGAGGAGGCAGCTGATCGATGTTTCTCTCTCGTCGATGTTTCTAACTCTCTATCTCTCTCCCTTCCTCTCTGTAAAAAATCAATAAAATATATATATATATATTAAAAAAAAAGTTAACCTCTGGGGGCAGGATTACAAGTACCTTCCCTCCCCACTGCCACACTTCACACTAAAGGCCGGGTGCGTGAATTCGTGCATGGATGGGGTTCAGCTGGCCAGGGGGAGGGGACGCAGGAGGTTGGCCGCCAGCCCTACCCCTGATCAGACTGGTTGGCCGGCCGCAGTGCACGTCATAGTGACCAGTTGTTCCAGTCACTTGGCTATATATTCTATTTTCCTAATTGTCAATAATAAATACACAATATTATAATGCAGTGTGAGAAATGGGAGACCCACTGTTCATATCAAGAGAAAATCAATAATGATCGTTTACCATCCAATTCTCTAAAAGATAAAAGGAAAACCCATTTCACATGAGTTGTTCTAAAAGATGCTAACAAATTTTAGTGAAATATAAGACTATTAGAGATGAAGGGTAAGGATCAAGTTCATTTTACAACTGAGGTTCAGCTCACAAAAGGGAAGCTGTAAAGAATTAGGAAAAGAATTGCTGAATTTCTGTTATTGGATTTCTTATTTCCCGTAGAAAGAGATTTTTAGCAACTAGATTTTGTTTCCTTTATCTATTTCTAAGTACCCTTTTTTAAAAACCCTGAAATTTACACAATCTTAATCCACTCTCTTCTCTATAGGGCACTAAGCAAATACTTTGAAAAAGAACATTTGCCCCTGCCTCTAACTTAAGGCAAATACTGCTGAGAAAGTCTTCAAAAAAACAACTGCCAATAAATGGCTAATTATTTTGTATCTACAATTTGGTAATAAATTTATTTTGTATACTGAAAAAAAATTGCTTTGCCCTAAACCAGATTTCAGAATAAAACGTACATCTTGGGCCATAGCGCCCCTTGGCATACCTAACTGCAACCACAGCATGGTCTTCAGATCGTTAATGCATTTTGATATACTCAAAACGTATTCATATTTCACAATAAACACAAATTAATTATATACAACAACAACAACAAACTGCCATATCGACACACAGCATTTCCTAGCCACAGCTGATAATCAATTCAGGTAACAAAGATTTATAAAACAACAAAGTAAATTTTCATTTGAAACAAAATTACAGCCTTAAATAATAAATAATGAAATGAAGGTTAAATGATGAGGAACAGTACAGATATTAAATCATTAAAATGAAGAAAAATAAGAGGATATTTTCAATGCAGGATTAACAGTATGGTAAAATTTGGGGGAGCTCTATAAGAAGATTCTAAATTAGAAAATGTCAAAATTTAGGATTCTAATATAAATATTGAGGCCGCAATATACAGTGACCATTATATTTGGGTTATTACAGAAAAGGAGGCATTTCAGCATAAGCTTTTTAAACTTGAAA